TAGTATTGCATGGGGTTGTTGTGACCCAAGTGCAGGACCCAAATTTTGAAGAAAAATTTTGAAATAATTTACCTCTTATCCCTCCTTAAATGCAGGCTTTTGGAGCAAAGTATGATTTGTTAATGAAGTAAATGCTGGTTTTAGTTACTGCTTGAGCAAATCATGGCCTGTAAGCATGTGCTTTATTTAGGTATTTTTGAGACTGTGATTTACAGAAAGTCACAGTGAAGTCTTGTTCTGAACTAGGCTCCATTATGAACACTGAGTGTCGCCACCTAACCGTGGGAAATTTATTTCAGCTCATTATTTTGCTTGGGACTTTTAAAAGAGCTGTAAAACATTGAGTGTAATTGAAATTTGGGGGAAATGGGCATATAAGTCCCTTGTGGAGCATGTGGGTCTAATATAATTCCTACGCAACCTTAAATAGATTTAGATTTCTTAACTGATTGCCTAGTTATTCAATTTGAAGTCTCAGTTTCTCACTTCTTTTCTTTTTAGTAACAAATCCAAAATTTTGGAGAAGCGACTTCGATATCTAAATGACCACTTCACGTACAATTTGTATTGCAATGTGTGTCGTTCACTGTTTGAAAAGGATAAGCTGCTCTTCTCGTTTTTGCTATGTTGTAATCTTCTCATGTAAGCTCATTTTTGTGAAGTCTCTTAGTAACAGAAACTAATGATTTTCTTATCATGGAAGAAGGTATTGATGAAATAGCATGTTCATGTGCATATTGATAATAATGCCTTTGGAGTAAGGTCATAAGTGTTTTGGGGTTTTCTAATACTGATAATATTTACAATGAAAGAGTATGTGAGTGCATGTATCACTACTACTGGACACATTACAAAAAGAACATTCCTATGCTGATTTAAATCAATGGTTTTGTCAATGATACATCTTTGAATCCATTTAAAGGACCTGGATAGCGCTACATAGCATCCTTATGTCAAGAACAATTGCTATTATTTAAGAAAACATTTTGGAAAGAAATCTAAGACAGTAATGTGCCATCCCAACAACTTCTAGGCTTCTGTCTTTGTTTTTAATTTTCTTTCTTCTTTCTCTTTTATCCTTTTGCATACATCACGAGATCTCAGTTGCAGTCTTCTCTCTTCCACCGGCTTTTTAGTTTCATCTTCCTGTTGTTTTGTAATTTTGTGTGAATACATTGTGAAAGGAAAGATGAGTTCAAAATTGCACAATCACAACCATAATGTGCATACTTACTTAATTACAATGTGTACACATCTGTATATGGACCATTCTTCCTGGGTCAATTTCTAAGGCTACTGTATTCCCAGAACCCATTATCTTCTATAAAGCCTTTAAAAATCAGGAATTATTGCACTTTTTAAAAACCAATAAGCAGATATATACCATTTACCTTTTGAAACCCTTACTAGAGTCTTAATCAGTCATTTTTACCATACGTTTTTTTACTATATAGAATACTGAGATCTGATCTCAGCTGTTACTGCAGTAACTAAATGCAGTATTGCTAAAAGCATTGCTGCAGTATTACTAAATGGTAGTGAAGTGTAATTAAACAACTCTTTATATTATGTAAAATTGTATCTCAGTAACTGAATATTATCCATCTTTTTTTTTTAATACAGGGCTAAAAATGAAATAGAACATCAAGAGTTTATGTTCTTACTAACTGGGGGGGTGGGTCTCAAGAATAAATACAAGAATCCAGACCCATCTTGGCTACCAGATAAGAGCTGGGATGAATTATGTCGTGCAAGTGAAATCCCAGCTTTGAAAGGACTGAGGTATAGTAAAATGTTGATGTGAATTAGCCTTAATTGTTTTTGACCAAAGTGCGTGTAACATGCTGAAAGAAATGTTTCCTATATGTTTTCCAAACCAGTGCCAGAATGCCAACATGGTAAAAACAGCCCTGTTTTTCATCATTAGGTTTGCTTCACATTTAAGTCAAACTGTTAGATCGCTAATTATAATATTATTTAATTAAAATATTTTCCTAAATTAGTTGAGATTATTATTTCCTAAAGAAACTTTTCTTTTGGAATGTCTCCATGGTAGAGAAACAGTGTTTCAAGGGGGTCAGTGGAGACCAAAGGAAGTATATGTAGCAAAATTCCACTGCAGTGCTGGGAGAGGAATTTGGTAAAATCTAATCTCCTGAAATCGGGAACATTTCACCCTGGATTTAGAATTTAACCCTAAATTCTGGAGCCAGCATGGCTGTACAAGTCTTGCATATAAATAGCTGACAGAGCCCAAATATTTGGAGGATTTGGATCTGACTGTGGAAACACTGCTCTGTTAGAAGAAATTGTTTGGGGCTGTTTTCTGTTTCTCCTCCTTAAGAGCTTTAGTAGCAATGTGGATGATGGTCCAGCCTTTAAATAGTCTGACACTTGTCCCATTGCAGAGGATGTACTCTGCATGTTGCATGAAGGAAAATACATTTTTTTCCCTGGTTAAACTTCCTGGTAATTTTCTTCAGTTTCTTCAGGAGTTTTCCTGAAATGTGAGAGGCAGAAAACTCACCCAGGCCTGTAAAGGTCCAAGCAGTGCTGGCTGGAGGAACAGGCAGAACTGATTGTCAACTTGGAACCTTTCAGGTGGAGTCTTGTATGTCTGCAACAGCATGGTGGGAAAAGATTTTTCACTCTTCAGCATGGAGAAGCTCTACTGTAGGATTATTTGCTGATATAGATGTAGAGTGGCTTGTATGACAATACAATGTAATTGGCTTTTGATAAACATCAAAAAACAGACTCCAGGTATTTACAGTAATAATTGTAAGTGCTTTTTTTCTCTAGGAGTCACATCTCTGAAAATATAGGCAAATGGCAAAAAATTTATGACAGCAAAGAGCCACAAAGCTTTCCATTACCAGAACAATTGAATAACACATTAAATGAATTACAAAAGATGATAATTCTTCGGTGCTTAAGACCAGACAAGGTAAAATGATCTGTTATCAGGTGTTTGTAGACTGTTTCATGTCTTGTAGCATAGCTGTTAAAATAACTAATCTGTTCTTCATATTCGTTAGAAATTTCGTTAAGAAAATAAATTATATTTTATTTTTCAGTTGAGTAGTACAAACACCACAAGCATCAGCTGAGATCTTTTGTCTCACATGATTTAATGCATCTTTCAGAGTGTATACATTGTTTTAGTTTTCTTCAAGTGCTTGTCCACGTTTAGTCCGTTATATACTTGAGAACAGGATCTATTAGCCTGAACACATACACAGAGTATCCAGTACCATGTGCTTTCATACAAAGGGTTCCAAGGCAAAGAGAGATCAAATGTGTTTATTTGAACAGCCAAGGCGAACTTTTAACACATTCTGCCTTTGGTGCACTTAGCAAATTGTATTGTATGTACTTTAGGAGCAATCAGTGTTAGGATTTAAAGTACATATTGCAATTGCTCCTTAGAATTAATTAAAAATAATTACATTAATATTTCCTAAGGGGGAATGTGCTGGTCCTCCACATCAGGTAAAGCCTGACTTAAAGTCATAATGTAATTTAATATTGTTTATATCAGGTATGTTATTTTTTATTTTCTAAAAGCATTATTATTCCTCTTGTAAGGAAAAAGAAAAGGGGAAGGTGTCAACAAGAGGTGAAACCTTTGCTTCTGAAGTATTCTGCAAGACTAGTCTCAAATCCATGCAAAGCAGAGAGGTGTCTGTAGGCTCAGGAATTTAACTACTATATGGTACATAAAAGATGCTGTCAAATATGCAGTTATGTTTAATTTATGTTAATTGTTTGTATTTACTTTTTTTACCAGATTAGTCCAGCTATAACAACATTTGTAACTGATAAACTGGGGAAGAAATTTGTAGAGCCACCACCTTTTGATCTAACAAAAAGTTACTTAGATTCAAATTCTACAATCCCTTTAATATTTGTGCTATCTCCAGGAGCAGACCCCATGTCTAGTAAGTATACACAGAAAGAGAAAACAAAAGTGTAGTACAGCTTTTCGATTAGGGACCTGAATTTCCCCTTCAGTACACAATAACGATTATTTTGCACTTTGTGCAAGTAGATTTGAGTGCATCATGTCACACTGGTAAAATTCTGTGCTCCCTAAAAATGGGAATGGTATACCATTCCCATTAAGTTATACCCATAAGTTATACCATCTTATTGTATGTACATTTTTAACAAAATAGTAATAAACATTTTAAAATAGGGTTTTTTTCCTGACATAACTTCTTTTTAATGAAGAAATGCTAAAATTTTATGCTTTCTCTTCAAGGCCTCCTGAAATTTGCAAATGACAGAGAGATGGTTGGAAATAAGTTTCAGTCCATCTCATTAGGACAAGGACAAGGACCTATAGCTACAAAAATGATTCAAAAAGGAATGGAAGAAGGAACCTGGGTTTGTTTGCAAAATTGTCATTTAGCAGTCTCCTGGATGCCGATGCTGGAGAAAATATGTGAAGAGTTTGACAGTGAAAAATGTCATCCAGTCTTCAGACTTTGGCTTACTAGTTACCCTTCACCAAAGGTACATGCATTGCCAAATACACTGTATTTGCGGAAAGGAAAAGTCAATGATATTTTTTGGAAATATTCATATCCCTGAATGAGCTGATAACATGGAACTTCCCTGAAATACAATGAGGCTGTTGAAAAGATAATTTAATTAAGACAGGACATTTAAAAAATAATTATAAACATAGTAATACCAAGCTTCCTTTGTAATATTTTGATACTGTGATGTGTGGTATTTTGTGTGCTAGTGAATGGAACTGCATTTTGCCAACGTATATAATTAAGAAGTTTTTGTGCTGTCGCTGAGGTTTTGTTTCACATAAATTCAAAAATTTAATTTTGCATTTTATTTCTAAGGTGTTGAATACCAAGAAAACATTTTAAAAATACAGGTTTGTTGTTTACAGCAAGATCTTACTTTCTTGTAAGATCTTTGAGATCTTTGAGAATTTTTTTAAAAGCTGTTCATGTTTAAATTGTAATTTCTTACAGATAATTGTTTCTCTAACAAACACAGAGTACTAATACATTATTATAACAGTATAGCATCTATTCCACACTTTCTGAATGCAGTTTTGCTATTTTTTGTTGCTAGTTTCCAGTAACCATTCTGCAGAATGGAGTGAAGATGACAAATGAACCTCCTACTGGTCTCCGGTTAAACCTGCTGCAGTCATTTCTTTCTGATCCTATTTCTGATCCTGCATTCTTCTCTGGATGCCCTGAAAAAGAGCTGGTAATGTGCCTGTCTCATGACAGTTTGTTTTTTTTTTTTTTATCCACAGATATACTGATTTCTGTCCAGTGTATATTATAAACTAAAATTTTTACTATGGTTGTAAGTTGAGGTTTTGCAATGATAAAGATGATTAGTTGAGAATTAGTCTGCCAGGTAATTTCACATGGCAATATTTAAAAAGGTTTCTTAGGCTTTATTAAATTACATATATATTACGCACACATTATACAATGTACATAAGGTCTGAACATTCATTACTAGGGCATACCTATCATTATTGAGATGATAAGCACTGAGAAGATCTTTTCTTGCTACCAGGGACCAGCACTTATCTTACTGATAAGTGATGAACCACGTAGCTAATCATCACCTGTGAAAGAAGTGAAAAAACAGTAGGATTACCCAGAGATATGAGTATGGTAATCAATATAAGTAGGTATAAGTGGGTGCATCTAAGGACTTATATTAAACTACACATCTGTATTTTATGTTTGCCTAATGATCCTTAAAAATAAATATCTGGTGCTATTTGAATTCTTATGAAGTCAGCTGCCCTTTACATGGAAGAAGAGAAAAATCTTGTGTAATGGTTCTTGAGGAACTAGCTAAATGTGCTTGCATGTGTGGCAACTACGTGTGTATTTGTTCCCAAGTCAAATAACCGCAGCATACTTAATAGTTGCCTGTATTTGTACCCTAGATGGAGAGTCATAATCAAATGGTGTGTCCTCTCTTAAGTTACAGACCAGCATGAGCATATAGGCTAGTTAATAATATTTTTGTTGTTTTGTTTTTCTCAAAGGTATGGGAGAAGCTGCTTTTTGGAGTTTGTTTTTTCCATGCTCTTGTTCAGGAGAGAAGAAAATTTGGGCCTCTTGGTTGGAATATACCCTATGGATTTAATGAATCAGATTTGCGAATCAGTATTAGACAGCTGCAGGTAAAATCATCTATTGCTACCTTTAACTCTGATCTTGCAAAGCATAGGAACGAGCTGATAGTCAAAAAGGAGCAATACGCCTAAGTTACATTAAATGTTCATAGATTTCCATGACTTCAGTTCAGCTACAAAGGCAAGGAACGTCAATCATATTATAAATATTTTCAAAATTACAAATGAGATAAAATTAAAAATTGTTCTTCATGAGATTTGGATTCATACAGACATATGGCATATAATGAGTATATATGACTATAACAAGAGTTAAAATTGTCATATATAAGAGCTCGTTGTGCTTTAAGTAATACCATGTCAGTGACTGTCACCTATTCTGGTGGTTTTTGTGGTTAGGAGAAGGATTTTTTTTTCTTTTTTTTACATATATACTGTTTGTTAAAGCGTTGTACTATTCTCCTTCCCTAAAATAAAATGTTGAATACTACTTGACCTTGAGTCTTCTGCAGGCCCTGTGCAGAAAAGTCAGGAGAGCTAAAACTGTGAATTACAGAAGTTGAGGCTGAACAGTTGGAAAAGTTGTGAAGAAGTTAATGAAAGAGATCAGAGGGTTCTGAAGATTGGAAGAAAAATTGTGTGAAATGCACATTTCTGTATGACACAGAAAAGTGTCCATCTAGAAAGTTTAGACTGGAAAAACTATCCACTTGTAAATAATTCAAGAATGACTTGGATGACTTACTAATTTGGATATTCATAAGAGGCTCTTACTACTAACTCCTCTTTATTTTAAACAGTAATTTTACCTGAAAAAAGATTTCAGAATTTGCATTTCCAACACTTAGGGAGAAAATTTTCTCCATAAACTGCAGTTTTTCATGCACTGTAGCTTCCAGCCCTTTAGTCTGTAGGTCACACTGTTGTTCTGCAGATGTTTCAAGTCTCTAGAATTACTCATGTCTTCTGTTTCAGTTATTCATAAATGAATATAGCCACGTTCCTTTTGAAGCTGTGTCTTACCTAACTGGTGAGTGCAACTACGGAGGTCGAGTGACAGATGACTGGGACAGACGTTTACTGCTGACGATACTGGATGACTTCTATAATCCCAACATAATTGAAAATCCTCGTTACACTTTTTCTCCCAGTGGCAACTATTATGCTCCACCAAAAGGCACATATGAGGACTACATTGAGTTTATTAAGGTAAAAAGCAGCAACAGGATTTTGAACTGTTATAATGATGATGCACTAAAAAGCAATCTCTAAAGGCTTCTCTGTGTTAAAAAGGTAGTTTTGCAGCACATTAAACTGTGTGCTTGGCTTCTTGCCTAACATCCTTGTATGATCCTTCCCATCATCTAGAATGTTTCTGAGAGGGAATCGGTAAGTGGACAGGAGGACCTAGCATAGATAATCAAGGATTCCTTGGAAATGGCTTTCCATAAGTGAGGTGGTGGCTCTATCACCAGTAATACTATCTGCAGATACCTACCATTAAGGTCCTTATCCACCTTCAGTTGAAGTCAGTAGTAGTTTTTCACTTGGCTTCTCAAAGATGACTTGGATCTAATTCCTAGCATGCTGCTTTATCTCATGCAGATATTTATTGTTTATTTTGCCTTAGAGTCTTCCCTTTAGTCAGCAACCAGAGGTATTTGGTTTGCATGAAAATGTGGATATTTCAAAAGATCTTCAGCAAACTAAGATCCTCTTTGAATCTCTGCTTTTAACGCAAGGAGGTGGCACTCAGGGAACTTCTGGAGGTGGTGACAGCGCTCTTTATGAAATTGCAGATGATATTCTCAGCAAGGTATTGTATTATACCAATGACTCCCATTTATCTTTTTACAAAGCAGAAATTCTTTAACTAGAATCTTCAGTGTCAAACTGATTTCATGTTGGAGGAAAAACCTACTGTGAGGAATTTAGTGCAATATGAAAGTAATAACTTGTGTGACTGCAACAGACTGCAGCTATATTTCAGTTGAAAGAAGTTTTATTAAGTAGGTAGGAGATAGGAGACAGAGAGAGAAAACAGAGCAAACACAACTTTGAAGAACAGTTGATTCATTCATGTGAACAAGTTTAAAATTAATAAAATTGAAACATATTCATAACTTCATGGTATGAAAAATTCTAGGTGGTTTTTAAAAGGTAAACATCACTTTAAAAAAAACTATAACTTTTATTTGGATTAAACTACTAAATACTATATTGATGAGATACTCATCAGAAACTTTAATGGTATCTGTTATTCTGCAGTTTTTCACATCTGCATACTTTTAATGTAATACCGATACATAATGATATATGGAGTGACTTCGAAATATGTTGTCATTTACAGCTTCCAAATGATTTTGACATTGAAGGTTGCCTCAGTAAATATCCTGTGAGATATGAAGAAAGTATGAACACTGTGTTGGTGCAAGAAATGGAAAGATTTAACAAGTAGGCGTGTTGTATTTTATTAAATGTATTCCATTTGCAGGAAAATCATTCCATTTGCAGAAGTTTTCATGTGAATCATACACTGTAAAGTCTGTGTTCTGTGAAATATTGTATTTATTTATTTTGTTCCTTTCTAATTGTCTGCAGTGATATCTGCAGTCCAAGCACCATTACTCCTTGTGGAAAGTCGGAATGTAGGATAGATGTCAGGAAAAAGGGAGTCTGAGGAGGCACCTAGAAAACAGAATGTGAACAGTATTTTTACGTGCCTTTTTTTTTTTTTTACTTCATTTTCTTTATCTTTGATTATATTTTATTTTCTTCATATTTCTGACCTGTAGGGTAAAGGGTTTAGAAACTGTGATACATGCACAGTTATGGTTTATGAAACATTTTCCGTGGTAGTTGGAAATATTTCTGCTTATTTCTTGTGTCATATGCTTTGGTTCTGAATTTTTCCTTTTTTTTTTCCCGTTTCCTGATGCCTTTCTTCCTATACCTTATTTTCACATTTATTCTCCTAGCATTACAAACCGATAATCACTTTTATTTTTCTCTTTGGGTCCCCAGTCTCTCTTTTGACTTCGTTTCCTAATTTTCGTTCTGATCTTTTGCCTGCTCCTCCAATCTTTCTTCCCTGTTTTTTCTCTGTCCTCCTTCTTTTCTATTTGTCTCTTCACGTCTCCCACTCCATTTTCTCCCAAACTTTCGATAATGCTCTCTGGCCTTCAGTATCCAAGTTTTCCTTTGTTGCAGACCCTACCCACCTCCTCTATTGTACTCTAAATCTCTTTCCTTCATCTAGTGTATAGTGTATACATTTGGAGTTCCAAATTTATCCTCTTACCAAACAATACAGAGTATATCAGAGACAACAAAATAATGTATTAAACTGTTTATAGTCCTAAATAAATTGGCACAAATGCACAAATCTACGACTTTACAGATGTGGCTAATTACACAGTTATGTAGCAGCTATACAAGTTGTATAGATGGTTCCATAATCCTGTTTTTTCTTTTTTTTCAGTGAGGATGTCATGTTTTACAAATCATGCAAAACATGTGAAAACTCTGTTTTATATTTTAATTCTAGTTTAATCCGAACTATTCGTACTACACTAATTAACCTGAAGAAAGCCATTAAAGGACTGGTTGTTATGGATGCTGAACTGGAGGCTCTGTGTGGCAGTCTACTTATTGGAAAAGTTCCTGAGAATTGGGCTAAACGTTCGTACCCAAGTCTAAAACCATTAGGGAGCTATATTCTAGATTTTCTAGAAAGGCTGAAATTTTTACAGGTAATGTACAGAGGCAGCACTGCCAATTATTTAATCTACTTCTTTATGTAATTTGTCCTTTATGTTAAAGGAGTATTGGGAAAGGAGTGATAGACTTTGCTTAGATTTTCTGAGTACTGTTATGTAGACAATGGTCAAACAATACGGAATTTGTCTCTCTGATTACTGAATGTGTCATTTTCCTTTTTCCAGGACTGGTATGAATTAGGGAAACCCACGGTTTTTTGGCTGTCGGGGTTCTATTTTACTCAAGCTTTCTTAACTGGAGCAATGCAAAACTATGCTAGGAAGCACAGGATCCCTATTGACCTTCTGGGATATGAATTTCAGGTAGAGATAAATTATAAATGCATATTTTATCAATCTGACTCCTGATGTTGCAGTGAGATGTAGTAAGTAAATCCTGACTGGAAGGTTCATTTTGCAGCTAACTCACTGCAATTTGAAGACACACATTTAATTCTTTGGTAAGGTAGGCATGGTAAATAACATCCGTGAAAGAGGTACGTTAAAAGTAGTTCTACACTCAAGAAAACAGCCTGTAGAGTATGTATTTGTCTGTGTGATTAAAGCCTTATTTTATAACCTACAATAAAGGTAATTAACAAACCCACAGAAATCTGCTATCTTTATAGTTTTGTATAAAAGTAGTAGTGAAAAGAAGGTATTACTATATTATTCCCATTTTGGATTGTCTTCTGAAAATTGGCTGTTGGCATAATGCCTCAAAAAGCAAACAGCTATGAAAGTTTAATAACACAGAACACTTACTTCTTGTAGGTTATTCCTCAGGATACTGCTGATACTGCACCAGAAGATGGTGTTTATATCCATGGATTATTTTTAGACGGCGCTCGCTGGGACAGGACCAAGTCAGTAACAAAGTGTTTTACTACGGTTCTGGAAAGCTTTCTGGTGCTCAAACAAGATTTGTTTAAATATTTTATGTGATACTTTTCCTATTATTGAAATAACACACCAGATGAAATACTTTTTCACGCGTGGAAACTGGGGAAGGAAAAAAAAAAAAAAGCCCAAGCAAGCAACAACGAAAACACACACCCCAAAACCCTCTTTGGCTTAATACCAAGCCACAAATAATTACTTTGTTGCTTTCTCTCGACAGGGGAATGTTAGCTGAGCAGTATCCCAAATTGCTCTTTGATATGATGCCAATTATTTGGATAAAGCCAAGTGAGTATAATTTCTCTGAAGTGTGAGCTATTCAACAGGAGATTGCAACAGTGAAAGCCTTTTTTACAGAAGATCAATGCTCCTACCCTCACCAAAGCACCCAAATGTGCACAGAATTCGTGTGCAACTGACCTATGAGTTTTACATTAAAAATTGGGCCTGCTAGCTTGACTCAGTCTCATCTCATCTGAGCAATAGGCCTGTCCCTCTCCCCACAGATTTTTTTAATGATGGATTAGATGAAAGGACTAGTTAAATGAATTTTTTATAAATAAGTTTAGGTGCTGCCCGATCTATTTTTCAACCAAAAGTTAATTTGGGTAGGAAAGCACATGGTGCTTGAATTCCTGGCTATACTCACATTGAGAAGAACTTTTAATTGACTTACAGAGATTCAGTGTTTTACCCCACATGATTTAGCAAGGTTTGCTCAGGTTATTTTTAGCTGCTATGGTAGTTGTCTGTCGTACTAGTAAGAAATTTTCCGTAACTCTTGTTTTCTTTGATCAGGAGCAGTAAATCCTTGGTTTTATTTATTCACTTAAGCAGGACTTTGTACTGCAACTGTTGCAACTTAGATGTTATTAGCTAATAGGCAATCTTACAAAGTTTCCCATTTTTCTGCCTGTACTTTCTCTTGAGGTTGCATGAATTTCTTCAGACATGCATGATTTTAGACTTTGCGCAAGTTGCATGGAAGTGGTCTAGGCATACAAAGAGTCCCTGCAGAGCTGTGTCCTTGGATCGCAGGTGACTTGAATTGCGGTTAGGTTCTGTGGCTGCTTGACTAGAATTCTTGTGGAGCTGTTAAAAGCTCATGTATAAACTATGCTTTAACTATGTAACTGTTCAAATTTTAATGTGTCTTTGAATGATTACAAAGCTGGTAGAATCACAGAAAGGTATGGATTCCTGAAAACAAATTGTAGTCAAATTAGTTGGGTTTAAAAACAAAACAAACCACACAAAGAAAACACAGAAAAAAGCCAGATAATTTTATGATGTTACTCACAAAACAATTCTTCATTTTTATTTAGCTTTAAGTATGTTACTGTTAATACTTAATATGTGTATGTAGATTATGTTTCTATCAATAGATCTGCTGAATGTAATATATTATTTTGGGGTTGGTTTTTTTTTGAAGCTGCAGAATTGGACGTAAAGAAAGCTAATGCATATGTTTGCCCACTCTACAAGACAAGCGAGCGTAAAGGAGTCTTATCTACTACTGGACATTCTACTAACTTCGTCATTGCTTTGACACTTAACACAGATAAACCAGTTCAACACTGGATCAAGCGAGGTGTTGCATTGCTCTGCCAGCTGGATGACTAACTTTGGACAGTTCAGATACAGACTTCACAAGATCCCATTCTTTTTGTTGGCTTGCAGTACAGAGGAGGTGGAACATACTGTGTAAAAGAAACATCTGGTCTTTTGTATATTAAAATAGGGCATGCAAATATTTTCTGGTCCTCAATATTTTGTCTTAGATAAGTATGTATTATTATTAGCATCTTTACAATTCTATAAAAGATACAGCTAGGATTTTAGGCTTTGGTGATATTATTAATGTGTAAACATCAATTTTATGCACTACTTGAATATCACAAAATAATCTTAATGGAAAAAGACAATAGTCTGCACTTTCTGAGAGAAACATTACAGTTAATGAACTTGAAGCATTAAGAATGCTGAATTATGTGAGTGGAAAGCTAGTAGGTAGTAAGTTTTGGGATTTCAGTCTGGATTTATATATAGCCTATGTTCTGTCATAGCAACAGCAAAGATTGCAGTATGAGAAATCATTTAACTATCTATAGTAGGTACTTCTGATGCCTTCCTTCCTCAGCAAATGAATCTTTTCAGGATTTAATTCAGATATTCTGATTTTTGTAAGAGTTTTTTTCCAAATAGTTTCTGTGAAGAATAAATGGTAAAATCTCCCTTATCACCACCTGCCATAAAATGTTATCTGTTTCCCTATTGCTCCAGAGAGGCAGTCCAGTTTCAATTCCTTCACTGATTCTGCACTTTTGTTTTCTTTTAAAAAAAAAAAAAAATTACTCAAGCATTCTTCCTAGGTCTCCTCCAGTAAAGAACTATTTCTGCCTTGCATTCAGACACAGCCATCATCGTTGCTTTGTAAGGATCCCTCCGCAAAATACAGTAGGAATAAATTAAGCACATGAAAGTCTCACTCTGTCCTACCTTCACTGTTATAACTAGGCATCGATGTCCTTCATTCCCCTGCTTATTGTGTGTTACACCAGCATAAGTTTTCAGCATAGCTCTGTCTTTCTGAAACTGAGCTTTTCCCTTTAAAGCCTCTATATGTTTATCTTTTGTTTGCTTTTCTATTTATATTAATACATGAATTGTGATTAAGCAATCAAAACAACATAGTAATTTTAAGAGTTCTTGCTTGATTTTATTCACTTGTTTATGCTTGCTTTTATTGGGTTTAGTTTTTCTTTTTACACTGTCTTACTCTTTTAAGTAAGCTTCTAACAGTACCTTCAGTTTACTCTCGTAGGAAAGCACTGAAGAATTTTCTTTCCGTAATGTAATAGTTACTACTTAGTTCTCAAATTCTCATCCCAAAAACTTGTAACGAGAGTATTTTTACAAAGAAACTGGACTTCTAATTCCTTCTTTCACTGACACCATTTGTCAGGTCAGTTTATTAAACGTAACTAACCTATATGAAAGAGACATGGAGAAAGTCCCAGAGTATCTTATGATCAAGTATTTATAGTGAGCTATTAATGGACATAGGCTCTACTGAGATCATTTTCAATCCTGAAAATATCACTTTCAACTTAATAATCACTTCTTCAAAGTGTGAGGTCTTCCATCTTTCAGAAGGTGAGGAAAACCAGTATATTTTCTCAATTTATAGGAAAATTAGTGGTCTTTTTACAAAAAAGAAATAGTCTAAATTTAAAATGTTTATATACTCATTGTACTGTAAGTATAACCAAATACTAACAGTTACTTGTGTGTATATGTCTGTATATATGTTAATATATTTATCTTTTTTGCTACATGTGCAATTACAGAGCAAGGCCTTGCAATCACACATTAGGTGGATCAGGTAATGAATTAAATTATGCAGGTTTGCTATGAATTACTGCTGCTCAACTTTAAGATGTTTCTAGAATCATTCCAAACTTTGCAAGTGGCATCTTGACAACTTCCTTCATTTTTCTGTGCTCATTCATTTTGCTAATTTATTTATTTGCTTTCAGTTTTACTTATTAATCTTATTTTACTTTGCCCTGTGTTTTTGGTTGTTTTTTTCAGGCCAACTCTCTTGAAAGACAGAAGTGGAAGTTTTGATAAGGTAGAACAGATGAGAGGCTTGAGCCTAGCAGAACATCTGTGATTTTAATCTATAATGGCATGTAGTTGAATATACAAAAGAACAGTGTGACTGCTTATGCATAGAACAGTGTACATCTACATGCATTATACTATTTAATGATTGATTTGATCGTTAATAATTTTTTATGTTTTCTTCTTAAATTTTAACATTTAGACATAACAAATAGTATCAATGGGATTTATTTCTATGTTCCATTGTTTGTATTACAATCTTAAAAGGGTAAAAATATTTTTAATTGAACCCTTTCAATTTGGCAAACTTTTTTTTTATTTTTTTAAACTAATGCCATTCTTAAGCTTTTCTTCTTTTTTGTGGTTACACCAGTGTTTTTTATTTCTGCCTGTATTTGGATATATATTGCTGCAGTATTTTACACATATCCCTTACAAGTATTAGAAAAAAATAGGTATGCATTGATGAAGAATGCAGAATTGTAAGTTTATCTGTTCTAAATGGCTGTAGATTATGAACATAAGGTGGTAAAGTTGATCTTTTTCAAGCATGGGGTCTGATGTTGTTTCAGTTGGAAGGCTGATGCACATAATAGCACAAATCTACAATACTTTCCTGACTACAAGATATGGCCCTAACGATATCTTTGTTGAAACAGTTGGAACAAAAGCTATTATTAAAAAATTTCACATCCTTTACTTGCCCTTCACTTCCAGGCCCTCTGTGAAAAAACTGAAAAAACATCCCAAGTCTAATTGCACATCTGTTTTCCTCCTAAGGATTCATCAGAGCACAATTGTGATGTACTTGAATGTCTAAAAGACTTAAGAGGGAATGACTACTTATCTGAAAACTAAGTTTCACTTATTTTTGTTGCTTTCTAATGCATAATGCCAGAACAAGTAGCTATTCTGTATGTTCAGTCTGAGGAACAGAGATAAAAGCTAGTACATGCTATTGGAATACAAAACCTTTACCTTGTTTTAAATAGAATAACTCTGCAGCGCAAACTTAAATACCTGGGAGAAGGCTGCAGCTTGAGATGGAGAAGTTCCGATTCGTTTATTTTAAACTATGTTTCATTTCTCTTGATGCCTAAACAGCAATTGCTATTTCTTTTACTCCAGATTTAACCTGAAGATTTAACATCTGCTTCCAATTAAAAAGCAGTATTTCCCTAAAGGTTGTGCTGATTTGCCATGTATAATCCTACATATGTGTTCGATGATGATTCTGATGATGAACTCCCTACCCAACATGCTATTCAGGAAAGCTTACAAGATAGGCATAAAATTGAAACAAGTGGCAATGCAACAGAAGATGAAAGGTAATAAGTTATTACTTCTATTTTGGGTGTTTTCTTGGCAATATTATAAGTATGTAGTAACCTTATTTTCCTTTGTGACTCTGTGTGTTGGATTGCTCTGACCTTGTCTCATGGGTGCTGGAAACCACTGCTAGCTCACTTGTTCTGAGTTCTCCCTGAAACAATATATTCATTTCCTTGAAAATATGGAATGTATGAAACTTTCAGGTGACGTTTTACATCAATATCTAAATGAGTACAAAGCTTTATGAAGAAGAGACGTACGTGATGTAAAAATAGATTGGTATGGTAGCTTTCCCTCATTTTAGTATTTAATTGTTGGCCTTTGTGTGAAAAATCCAATATTTACAGTGGCAGGGGAAGATGAACAAAAAAGTGTTTTAATGTGTTAAATCCTGACAAAGCCTACATAGCTTACAGAAATCTAGCATGTAGTCTCGACTCGAGTATTTAAATTAAGGTAAAATTATATCCTGAACTACACATTAACTTTTACTTCTCGCATTATTTTTGTTCTGTTTATGCAGTTTCCAGTATATTGCAAGTAAAGAACGTGGAAAGATAATTGCAGCAATTCGGACAGTTAAGTACAAATACACCACACTAAGCCCATACCCCTAGGAATCACTTGGGTATTGCATCGTTGAGCAATGCCTACATTTTAGGTGTTTGATCACCTGATTTAAATGCAGTTTTTCTTTATATAGTCTTGGGAGGAGTAAGGTGACTAAAAACGGGATACCTAAAAGCTAACTTACTAGATAGGAACATGGTAATGGGATCGTTCAAATGTAACTCCTCTCAGACTCCAGTGCTTCATCTCCTGGAATTAGGGGACAATGCCAGCTCTTTCTTGTAAAATAAGCAACAGGATGGCAAGGCCCCAGTCAATTAATGCTACGTAAAAGGATTTCACTTTGTGAGACACCCAGATTAAAATCCCTTCTCTACCTGAAGAGTGTTCCAGAATTGTTCCTTAACTGCCAAAATTTAGTTTAATTATTTAATTATTCCTATGTGAGATGCTTTTAGCCTGCTCTTCTGAAACTTCTACTTGTTGTGGTATAATCAATTTATATACTGAGTCACAGAGATAAGTAAACAATGAGCATAAGTAGTACAGTTGTTAGGACAGTTGTCTGGCAGTGGGAGACCTTCAGTCCAGTCTTTATACATAGAATCATAGAATTGTTTAGGTTGGAAAAGACCTTTAAGATCATCAAGTCCAACCATTAACCTAACACTACTAAGTCCACCACTGAACCATATCCCTAAGTGCCATATCTACATGTCTTTTAAATACCTCCAGGGATGGGGACTCAACCACTTCCCTGGGCAGCCTGTTCCAGTGCTTGACAACCCTTTCCATGAAGAAATTTTTCCTAATACCCAATTTAAACCTCCCCTGGTGCAACTTGAGGCCATTTCCTCTTGTCCTATCACTTGTTACTTGGGAAAAGAGACTCACATGTCATAGTAAGTAGTTATATTTAGTGGAGTCGGAATCAAGAAACGAAGTCTTTTCTGAAAAAGCAGGTGCTATATATGTTCCACACACTATGAAGAATGCACCTAAACTCTAGTTACACTTGCTTTCTGGCCTTATGAATATATAATTATTCCATATGTAGGAGAACTTCAGCAGCAGAGGTTGAGAGCAGCCTGTCC